GTTGCTTTGGAGCTGGACGATCTGCAGCCGGATATCCGCGCGAAGCGCTCAAACGCCACCTGGTGGCGCACTTAATCAACTTCGCTGCCTTCTACCCAACGCATGTATACGCCGTGCCTTTAGGTTCAGGAGAAAGCCGGCTTTTCGCTCTCATCGGCAGTTCTGCGCATTGCACGAGGGATCGCACTACCCAGTTAGGTAGAGACGGGCTAGAAAAGCTCCCAATTCTTTGTTCGCTACTAGGCGCCCTTTCTTTGCTGTAATAACGGAGTTTTTTGTTCACATTGTAACAATATATATAGCGCTGATGCGTTGGCGTTGAGAGGCTGAGCTTAGAGGATACGATATATAGGGGGCAACGAGGCTGTAAGGATACCATTGGCTTACGAGTTTTTCGGGTTCGCGTGTTGCTCGGCCGGCTATTTTAAACTTAGACTTTGGTACATTCCACACCTACGAATACTTCTATTACTACAAGTACATGTTACAATAATTACTAGTAATTAAGTACTAGCTAGCTACTACTAGTAGTAGTACTACTAAGTTACCAGCACTACTAGTACTATAGTATAGTTACTACCAGGACGGCAGGAGCTAATGGTAATAGAAATAGTATTAGTATTACTATTAGTATTACTAATTACTAGTACTAGTACTACTAGTACTAGTACTACTACTACTACTAGCTCCAAGAAACGCTCTTTGCTAGGGTTAGAAATACCCTATACTAGACACAAGGCACTTGAAGCGTTTTCAATAAAATATAAGTGCAACTAAATACGAAAATCTATTTACTACCAAATTCTTAATGTTTCTAGTATAGGCCTACTCTCTTTCGAGAAGGTTGCGAGGTGCAAAGGCTATATAGACTAGGACTCGCTCCCACCTCGATTAGCCATCGAGTAGACTAAGCTAACGCCGAGAGGTGGGAGCGGAGTGCCAGTCTATGGGCTATAGCGGCGGGCGGGCGCGCACTGCTTGCAAACTCCTGTACGAGCCTCGCCATTGCAACGTTGCAAAAAACGTTCCAGCGTTGAGCGCAACAATGAGGTCACGAAGAGCGCCGTAGGTGTTTCCTGATCTAACAGCCATTTCCATTACTGGGCAAAGTTCGCGAATGTCAGTAATTCTACAGTCTTTCTGTGACTTCGCGTGACACAGCTCGGTTACGAACACATTACTCGGTACAGTTATTTATAACAAAGTGAACACTGTTTCACGTTCCAAATGTCTTGCCCTCTGTGTCCCCACTAAAATTGCGGACTGTTACGCTGGCAGCTATGGTTCGTGCGCGGCCTAATCATTCGGCGCACGGATCCATAGCTGCCAGCGCTGCATACTGTCGTAGGAATTTTCCGCGGTCGCGTGCGCCTATGCCGCGGAACTGCGGCGCGAAGATGCGCGCAGCAACTTCGATAAACACCTCCTTTCGGCAACGCTTCTCTAGTATCCCGTCTCATCTGGATTGACTGTTGTAGACACTGCCACTGGTGGTATTGAATATTGAATTAATTTAATATACCTTTAAGAGATCAGTGTCTATCTCATTATCTTCTGCTTTCGTTGAATCTTGCTTTTCCGTCTGACCTGATCCTTTGGATTTCTTAGATTTCCCTGAAACGTGCTTCGGATTCGATGCGGTTGATGCTAGTTCAACTTCATGATGAGAGCTGATACTGATGATAGATTCTCCGTGTACCTGCTTGGCCCGTTTCCCACCTCTCGGGAAAGCATCTTCGTCAGCTATCGCCATGTTCTTTATCACGATTAAACGAGACTCACTAGGTGGATATGATGTAAAGCTAGTTAGCTTGAAACAAATTACGTGTCAAACATACGGTTAGCAATAGCAGCGAAAAATATCAACACTCGCACGTTTCAATGGTGGTGGCCATTACGCGAATGCGTTTTGTAATCAGTTACATGATTCGTCAATTCCCAAAGATTTTACCCAATAAGATACTCTAGGACATATAAAAAAGATGTAACAGGAAACATTGCTATCAGTATATTATATTGCAACAGAACCCAACCACATAGCCTAATAAAATTAGTCATAACGTACAGGTATTTGCTTAAAACCTACTTGTTAAATACTGTATAGTAATCATCGACATTATTTTTTTGACTATTCTGACATTGCCTTAAGCGGACTAAAATTACTAAGGAGTTTTGTTGTAAAGAAATATTTATTGCTACACTACTCACTAGTTCCAGTTCTCAATCGGCAAGGACTCTTATGTCGATTGCCCTTCGGCCAAGACAAATTTCTTTTAATAAGTGTGGTAGGTTAGATAACGCATTAACATGGTTGTATATCATTTAATAGTATTGTTAAAGTGAGTGGGCACTTACCACCACAGGCTAGTAAATTGCCAAAACTTAGCATAGTCGTGTGACGGCGGTGTTGTCAGTTGTCTGTCGCCTGCGGTGTGACTTGTACTGTAGTTGTACTTGTAGTTGTAGGTTGTACTTGTAGTTGTACTGTAGTCTGTAGGCCCCTAGTTTACGGCGTACGGACTTATAGTTATAGTAGTACTACTACTATCATAGCTAGCCCATGGATGACTGTGGCTCGGTCAATGCCAATGGCAATGCAATGCCATCACAGGCACTTGAAACGTTTCAATAAAATATAAATGCTAAATAAATACGAAATCTAATATTACCAGTAAAGAGATCTGGGCAAGAATTGAAATTTTCCCTGGGGCAGAGTGATGCCATGCGCGCAACACAGGTCAAGCCATCACATGCCTGAAAGAACGCTGTTTCGACTGGAAGTTCGGTCCCACATACCAGTATCCCACGACATTGACACTTGTCTCAGGAAGTTATGATGCATGGCGATCCGAATGCGCTGGTTGTAGGCATCACCGCTGCAGGAATCCCTGTGGAGCCACTCCTTGTACTGTAGCGGCCCACCATTGGCGTGATGGAACGTTGTGAAATCGTGTCGCTCTCGCGAATGGCACGGAATGTACCATTTCCAAGGCTGTCCTGTAGCCAGTTTCTTCAATGGCCTGAGGAACACTGTCTGCCAGGTGAAGGGGCTGGGCACGTGGTGGGGTTTATGCCGGACGGAGTGACGATTCTGTGGTTGCAAGTCTACCAGTCCGCCTTGGGGTTCCATCAGCCTTGCCTGTTACCACATCCATGACACCATGTTGTGGTGTGTTGGGACGACCCGCTCCAGGAGCCGCCAACGCGGACGTCCGCTCTCGAGATCCACATAGACTCTATCCTGCCTAGTCCGATTGGACAAGCGTGCTTGTGGATGGCCACCGGTTTGGCGTGGGGTCAAACGGTGAGTTGTGAGCTCAACTTCATAAAGCTGGCAGTGGTTGAATGGCTCACGATCACATTGAATGTCGTGCGCGCATAATAGTCCAACGAAAGCCATCCTTCAAGTGCTTCCAAATTCTCATTCTCTTCTGTAGCTACTCAATCCCTGGGGGTAGAGTGGTGGGCATCCGTTTTTGGTGGAGTCTGCTTGCGTCTGGACAAGAAGCAGGTGCACCCCTCGAGCTGCCACGGACGCAGCGATGTTCCGAGGTGTGCACGCCGTAGCGGTGGGAAGTCCCGGGTGAATTATCCCCAGAGTGATGAGTGTTTCCTGCAAAGACAGGCTTCTTCCATGGTATCAGAGACGTAACAGAGCAAACGTGTTGACCCTGATGGAAACCCGTGGTAGCTCTGGTGGCAACAATCGACCTAAATGGCTCGCGATCAAACGCAAGGTCCTCTTGTTAAGGCCCCACGCATCAAAGCTTGACCGGGAGGAGTCCCGAGTCTGGATGCCGCAGGTGTGAGCAGAAATTGACGATGGTATGATCGACGCTTTTGGCACCCTGTGTCAGCCAACCAATGGAAATAGTGACCGATTTGAGTCTGGAGGTGTCGTGCATTGGTGATCCGAATGTTGCGTGATCCTTAGCAGTGGTGTCATGCTCACTAATAGCATGGGGTGGGGTTTGAGGGGCGAGCCACCCATTGTCCCATCAAACACATGATGTTTCGAGACGAGTGACTTGTCTTGATGCTTGACTCCAGAGTGAATGTCTCACAAGGGCTTATGTGATGCCGCAGAGCCACAACTGGTCGTACACATAACTAGCCTTGTCGTGGCCCGTATCCTTGGTTGCACCTACCGGTGCGCGTTCCTTGGGCGGATTCCGCTGCGGCCCTGGGGACAGCTTCTGGATGAGTGTGTCACGATGGCCCCAGTTACCGCAGGTGGTGCACTTGCTGCATGCTGTTGTATAGTGCCCCTTGACAGCACATTTGCACAGGTGAATGACCAGGCCTCACAGTTGTTGGACCTGGCCTTTCGCTCGTTCCTGGGCGCGTGAGTAGGACCAAGGCACGCCCAAACATTTCGCTCCACCTGCTCTAATCGCCGGAGGTTGCTTTTGCGGGTATACGGTGTTGCACATGGCACCCGCCGAGTCTCCCACTGCACTCTTGCGTCACCTTCCCCTGCTCTTTCTGGGCGACGAAAAGATACCGTTTCCTCAAGGGTTCTGTCCGTTTTGGGTCACCCCAGCAAGTCGCCATGATTTCTGGTCAGCAATACCCCTCACGAGGTTGTCCTTGATGATCTCATCACTGTAATCGAACACATGGGTGCAGTGCGGCTCTTTGCAGTTGGCCTTGTACTGGGCAGAGGGCAGGCCTGGCCTCGGACGGCTGCCAAAAAGTCCAATACGCCCGTCGCCAGGACGATTGGGTCATCCTGCCTCAGTTTTTTGTCGATGGACGAGTGGTGGCTCTCGTCCTAGACAGCCAGTCTCTTGATCGACCTAGAAGATCCGCCTCTGCCATGACGACGTCACCGCCAGATCGCGCATTCATGTCGGTCCGTAAATCAATGTTCACAGCAGATAAAACGGGCTATGTGGCCCAGCAACATTCGTCAGAAATCGCCATCCCGACTTCTTGTACATGACCCATTCTGGTTGGAATGAGACCATTGATGGTCACAATCCCAGCCGATATATTGCGGTGGGTCTAGCTTGAGTCTTTGAGTCTGATGGGCCTCGTGCGGGGTGGCTAGTTCGTTCATGAATCTGGAGGGCGGCGTTAGGGCTGCCGCGAAGGCTTCGTCCAGGTCCTGCGAGCCGCCCAACCACACGCGTCTATTGGCACTGCACTCGTGGCCATCTTTCAAGTAAGTAGCAAAGGCTGTGCGACCAGTAGTGAGATCAGTGACTTGGTCGAGGCCAGTGAGGTTGGATGAACACTTCCCGAATATGTAGCGGTCCATAAATAGATACCATCTTCCTTGTTATTTAACATAAAGGATGACTGCTACCTGGAACACACAGATACAGTATAATGTTAGTTATTAACCGAACTTCTGTTCACGCGATATCGCCCAATAACACTGGCCAGCAATCTCGACGCTGTTCGCTAACGTGCGCCGGTCAATGTATTTAATGTCGCACGGAATCAGGCAAACACCCAGAGCGCGCTATTGCGTCATCGTTGCCCACCGCAATGCTGGAATGTTTTTGCAACGCTCAGATGGCGCCAGGCTCGTACGGAGGTTGAAAGCAGCGTGGTTTTGTATCCAAAAAA